CTCCATAAATTTCGTGCCAAACACTCCAAGAAATATTAGCATGCGTCACACCGACATTCGTATGTAAAAAAAGAAGATTAATATAACTAAAGACTAGGCTTTATGGGCATTGTTCCCTTTGCCTTCTCTGAAAAGGGAGATTCTTAAATAATATTGACGTTTCATTATACATAACATTGAAATTATATACGCATACAATTTAGGTAAAGTTGAGATTTCTTATACTCAAAATGTATACTCATATTTAATATGAATGGAATTCATAAAATATCATTTTTTTGCTTGTAAAATTCTGCTCTAATTTATTATTATTTTATATAGACTATGATGTTAACTTAATCGAGAAAAACGGAACGCATTCGGCAGTGAAAGAATATCTACGATAGATATAATATCATTGGAATATCGAAAATCCACGAGAATAGCATTTTTTACCATCAGTAGATATTTTCAATAGATATCCCTACTTTCGATATTATCTCGAAGCCGATATAATATCTACGCCGCGAGAATTGGGCCCCTGTAAATAGAGTGTACCAGTCATGCCAGTCCTGATGTCATGTCAGTCATGCGGTGAGGTTTTAGTGATACCACAATTAAGGAAAACTGTAGGTTGAAAAGTGAGAGCCTCGCCTCGTAGGGAGTTTCAAAGATAGAAATTTTCGATGATTGTGAGATTGGAGATGTTAGCTTTTTCAGATTATTAAAACTTTTAACTAGGGGGGGAAGTTCCTTATAAGTCCAGTAAGTTGAATTTATAGTATGATTTGCCAATTTTTTAAGTTTTCCTAATAGTGGGTGGTTTGAGTATTGTGCAATATTGAATAAATATCTATCACTCATTAGCTGGCGTCTGAGATGAAGCGGGGGTTCAAGGCATTCTACCTGCATGGCGTTAATTGGGGAGGAACGCATAGCACCAGTAATTATGGGAAGACATTTAGATTGAATCTGTGTTAATTTCTTCAGAGCTATTTTATTGCAGGGTTCCAGTACAAAACTTCCATACTCGAAATGGCTTCGGACTATTGCGTTGTATAGCTGTTTCTGACTACAAGGGTGGCATCCCCAATGAACACCAGATAGAGATCTAAGGATGTTGACAGATTTTTCTGCTTTCTTGCTGATATAATCTAAGTGCGGTACACCAGTCATTTTAGAATCCAATATTATGCCTAAAAATTTACAGTTATTAACAACTTCAATCTGTTGATTGTTCACGGAAATGTTCAATGGAGGTAACATTCTTTTGCGCGAAAAAATAAGGGCTTTTGACTTTTCTGGTGACAGAGAAAGACCATGTTCAGTGAGCCAATCATCAAGATAATACAGGGCAGAGTTTATTCTCGAACTGGCATCCTTAAGGTCCTCCGAGGAGATATACAGTGCTATATCATCGGCGTATTGTAGTATTCTGCAGAAGCTATTAACTGATCTCTCCAGATCATATGTGTACAAATTGTATAACAGTGGGCTTAAGACAGAACCTTGAGGTCCTTTCCAGATAGATCTTGCTGTTTGCAGGATTCCATTCACCCTGACCGTAACAGTTCTAGACATATACAAGCTACTTATAATGTTAATCAACCTCGCTGGAAGACTCAGGTGTTGCAGTTTTTGCCTGAGCAAAGGAAGTTGAACATTGTCATATGCAGATGTAACGTCTAGGAATACTGCAATCGTCGAAGCATTCACAGAGAAACCTCGTCGCACGTCAGTGGTCAGAATGCTGAGGCTGTCTAGTGTCCCCATACCTCTTCTAAATCCAAATTGTGATTTGGATAGAATTCCCTTGTTTTCAACTATCCATTCTAGCCTATTTTTAATAAGGTGTTCCAAAATTTTACAAAGGGTGGACGATAGTGCTATAGGTCTATATGACGATGACTGTTGGGGATCTTTACCGGGTTGCAGTATGGGTATTACTATTTGTGTTTTCCAGGAATTTGGAATAAACCCGTTTATAACTATGCCATTAAAAATTTCTAATAATATAATTTTTGTGCTATCTGAACAGTGAGTTATAAAAGAGTAGGGGATTCCATCTATGCCAGGAGCGCTGTCCTTCAGCCCATCAAGGGCACCTTGAAGTTCTGGAAGAGTGAAAGGGGAATCCATACTGTCAGAAGAATTGATTGGAGAGTATAAAGGGGTCATGTCTTCAGAGGGGGCAAAAGGGGGTGCTAATTTGTTGCAGAAATTCAGGAGTCAGTTGTCGATCTCGTTGGATGAAGGATTACTGTTCGGGGTTACTGATCGTCGGAAACTGTTGATCTTTTTCCAGACAATAGAAGATGAAGTGCGTGGGGATAAAGAATCACAAAATTTACGCCAAGAAAGAGTTTTTTTTGTTTGCGAGGATTCTTTTAGATTTAGCAGTGACTTTTTGGTAGTAGAAGTCAGATCCCTAGCAAATTTTGATTCTGCTTCATTACGCTGTTTGATCACTTCCGTGCACTCTGCATCTCACCAAGGAGGTGATGCTATTTTGTGTGAAGAGCTGTTTTTAAGGGGAATGGTTTCGTCTGTTGCACTTATCAAGGTTGCTATGAATAGGTCATACATTTCTAGATAATTTTCAGAATTGATAGAGTGGAACTGATTCAATTTGGAGTCTACATTTTTAGAGAAGGAATCCCAATCAGCTTGGTTGGTTTTGTATTCAAGAAGGCAGGGAATGTCCACCCTTGGGGGAGACGCGCCGTTGAGGTTGCATAAAATCGGGAAATGGTCGCTGCCATTAAGGTGGACCAGATTTAGCCCATATTATAATGTCAAATTGACATTCCTGACATTTTTCTATGGTATAGATTTAGCTTTGCTGCAAGTGGCAACGATATTATATCGTTGGCAAGTGGGTCTAAGATTTGATTGTAAATAAAACCTTAAACTTTAATTCGCCCTGTTATACCGGGTTTACACGAGGCGATTTAAATTAATCAACTTTTATCGTTCAATTGCTTTTCTTTAATTTGAATGCTTTAATTTGATTGAAAGTCTGTTCAAACGGTTAAAATCGTATGCGATTCAACAGTTCATCAACTAAAATCACCTCGTGTGAATCCGGGATTAGGGACGGCACTGGGCGGGTATAATAAATAAAAAAGGCCATTTTCACGATGAAATAATTATTTTAATAGGCACGATCACAACATTAAATTGGAAACACTACACGATGACAAGTTAAACCATTATAAAGAGAAAATGGCACATCAGTACAAAAATAAAGGGCCAGTGTCTGTCGCAAACAGATGTTAAGTGTTAAAAATATCCAGCTGAGAAAGTGGCACAAACCAGAATTGCTGCATCAGCTACGCTGCCCAGGGTCACCTAGAAACCGTACTCACTGCTGGATCACAAAACAATAATATAGCAAATTTTTCTGCAGTGTTCTGTAAACTTTAGAATATTTTCGGCTTTCCAATTCGAGCGGAAAACCAGTTGTACTCCATCTCTTTTTTAAACGAGGTTATTATAGAACAGACGTGTATTTTCTAAATCGTGCAATTAATGGCCGATAGGATTACGTGTTGTGTCCGTTGCCGCCCGAACGAATATGACACAAGTTTCTATTTTCAATTCCAATCATATTAAGCAAGCAATAAGTAGTTATTTCTTACCAATCCCTTGAAAGTATATAAAATGAAGTTTCTATTGTTATATTGAAGCAAACCTCTAATCGCACAAAGCAATATTCATCTCTTAGGTAAGTTCACATGGCTCTTATGGCTCGCTCATATTCATAATATGCCTTTCATTAGAGACGGATGTAATCCAGCGTACCAACCAAGGTGACCTTGGTGGGAAGTTGGTTTCCATCCGCTTTATGATTTTCGGCTACACGGATGTAATCCACGCCCCAACACGCAATCGCGAGCCGTCTTCTGGAGTGAAAACACGTATGCACTTGTATCATGCGCGGACTGTATTAGTAACCGTGTTGTAGAAATGACTCCAAATTTGTTTAAATTTCAAAATTTTTATTGCCTTAGAGTTTTGTGTACAATAGACGACGAAAAACAACACAAAAAGAGAAAGTAGATGAAGCGTTGGTTAAAAGAGTGAATGATTCTCAACCATTCAAACTTATGTCCAACTCCCTATACTTTGCGAGTAATATCATTTTTACCACGCATTTGTTTTGACGATCATCTTTATCATGATTCCGACGTTAACGTCCCATAAGCATGGGAGATCTCTATAGAGATCAATTAGTTCGCTAGTAATATCGCGTTCGCGACTCTGGTCTTCGGACGACATTTTTTACATGCATACGTGCGCACCCGCTGACTGCCACAGCGTCTGTGTTTTGTTGGGTGTAATCCGCCGGCCAAACGGTTGTAATCCACGCGCTCCAATCGCGGATGTAAACACGCGCCCGTAATCTAAAGACGTTGAAGGGCAAATCAAAATTTGGATTACAGAGTTTCGTGCCGCGACTTATGTCTCCCGCTGCTTCGGCAAGCATAACCAAGGCCATTCGACAGGCCATGGGTGGTTGGTGGGATTTGGCTGCACAACAACTAAGGGAATTGATTAAAAGTATTAGTTTTACTTCATTATAGACCAGGTTATCCTGCCCTTATCTTTGCAACAGTGCCGAAATATCATCGGAAACTCGCTAAAAACAAGGTACATGGTAAGAATCCCGATAATAACATATATTACTATAATGTTAGTGATCATGAAAGTTTAAAACAATTAACTATTTATGATCGAAACTTATAAATAATATTAAAGGATGAATTCTAATGTAGTACTTTACTCAGCAATATTAAAAACACAGGAAAGGGCTTTGTTTAGATTATAGAAGCATTTAGATTAGTTTGGGTTTAGATTATCAAGGACCTACTGTTAATAACAGTATAAGCAACATTGCCAAAACAGTACTTTTTATAGCCTTTATTCAGAGATCAACGAATGGCCAAATTATCACATTTTATCAAAATTATAATAATTTTATAAATAAAACAAAGAGTTACAGAACAAATACCACTTGCCCGTTTTTTTAGATATTTCCTGCAATACCTCCTCCAGTTTCTTCTTGGAGCGGCCTGCTATACCCCAGCTGCGACCCAAGAACTCCTTCATTCCACGGGCAAGGTGCTCTACCGCATGTTTACCCGTGAAGCCCGTAGCACCAAAGATCACCAAATCCAATTTAGACATCTGATTTAAACAGATTAAATAATGATTATAACAATTGTATCATTAAGTTGTTTCCATGAAATTATGATCCCTTCATCCTATTCCAGAAACTTTCTACTGACACTAACAAATATAAATTGACACAAGAGTGATATAATCAACTAAAGCTCAATTAAACTGTCCTTTAAATCTTTCATTTAGAGTTTGTGTACATATAAAGACCTCTGAAGTCCTATCAAATCCTCTGTGGAGCTCGATGGCAGGGGTGGTTAATGCGTTCAGCTGCGATCGTTGAAGTTAAGCAACTTTTGTAGTAGTTGGTCATTACCAACTACTACAACTTCAACGATCGCAGCTGAACGCATTCAATGGGATGGGTGACCAAAAATCTTCTATCTCGAGTTCCTCCGTGCTACGGAAGGCACGTTCAGCCGTTGGTCCTGGCTGCATCTGCAGTCGTTAGCACCCGCCAATCCGCATGGGGCCCGTGTGGTGGGCATGTGGCCCAATCTCCCTACTCCATCCATAGGGATGGCCTGTGTCCCAGCAGTGGGGACATAAATAGGCTGATGATGATGATTCATATGAAATACATCTTCCCTTCATCACCTTTTAGGCCTCTTGATAACAAAGCTGTTGTAAACAGTAGCTAAAGACTGACCTCTGCACCAGTGTAATATACATGGCCTTCTCAATAAAACATTAAATGAAGACAAGCATATTGCACAAGTCTGGTAAAACAACAATTGTTAACAAGCTTTAGAACTCTATTTATATCTACTTTATCTTTACAATATAACAGTTAAAAGATTAATTAATTAATTCAATCTTTTTTGCCTTTACACTGCCAATGGAGGACATAATGTCAATATGGCATTTTCTACCTGTCAATCAGAAAGAACATACAGAGCTAAAAAAAAACGAAAGCATCAAAGAAGAGAGATTATAATTAACCAATGAGCAAATATAATAACACTTAACTATAAATACAACCGTGCTTATATAATTATTATATAAATATACACACAAACAAATATAAATTTAGCACTTACTTTCAAGTTAATAAAACATTTAGGCGCCTTGCAGACGGCGGGGCGGAGCGGTCCTGTCAATTTCGCCGCGAACAATAGCAGAAAGTGAATCCTATACTACAAACGCACGCGTACGTGGCGAGGGCAGCCGCAGACATCGACGGGCAGACGCGGTTTTTATTGCTTCGCGGACAAAAAGCCCGCCCCGCCCCGTCGTCTGCAAAGCGCCTTATTGGTACCTAACTGGTAGGTTTGATAGCATACAGTACAATTTGTACAATCAGGAACTACTATTTAGATAAATAATAATCTTGCCATAAATGTTTCAATGTTTCAACATTGGTATAGTCATTGCATGAATAGAAAAAAAAAAACTTAAAAAATAAAAAGGGCCTAGGTGCTATATTTGAACTCCTCAATCAGATCTGAAAAAAACAATTTATATAGCTGTTCCAACCTAAAGCATTATTTTCACCTAGAATCGTATTTTTAATGAAAATCTTACTGTCTGCTAACCGGTTTGAAATTATGACGAAATCAAATCAATCCGAAATAGTAAGTTTCTTCATTCTACTTGACATTGAAGAAGAATTGGGTAGGTACAGAGATAATCATAGTAATGATGCAATAAATGATAATTAAGGTTTAGAATAATTTTCTCCAAGTATATAAAAATAGTTATCAAGGTGTGATGAGAAAAAAACCGGCCGGTAGGTACGTAAATAAGTTCAACGTGAATTTTGTTTAAAATCTGGTTATTTTACCTTAAATTGTTGTTGTAATGTCTCCAGTGAAGTCTGTTGCTATTCAATTTAACTTATTTAATAAGTAAAAAAAACCTTGAATCCAATATACACAACACCAGATAAAAATTCTTTCTCGCAAAACTCTTCTTCATAACACTTCACTCACGGAACTGACAAGGCAGAGGCCATTAAAAAAAATTCAAAGTTTTTTTTTATATCTTTTTTCCCATCTTGGGAAAGGCAAAGGCAGAGCTATGCAGCCATAGTCTTCATTTAAAGGTTTTTTTTTTCTTTTTTCTATAAGGCCGAAGCCACTTCTTCCATCATAAGATATTTGTCCTAAATAGTCTTTCTAATCCATCTTCAGTTTAGGTACTTATTGTTCCCCCAAATTTTTAAATCCGATTTTGAATCTTCTTTCTTTCAATCTTGTTTGTTAAAAGTCATTAAATTTTTTAAAGTTCCATATCTATGGAAACTAAAAAATTATATAGATATTTGTATGATTTTGACTAGCGTTCATAACAATGTATTGAATGTCGCGCGGGATTTCATTATTAGTTTTATATAATTTAATTAAATTGTCAGCTAAAACAAGTCTTTGTATATTATATGCTGTACATTCAAAAAATATATGGTTTAGTGTTTGTTCTTTATTTAAATTACAGTTTGTGCATAACGGAGATGTATATTCATTCTATGTAAATGTGAATTAAAACGTCCATGTCCAATTCTCAAGCGTGTGATGGTCGTATAAAATTTCCGGCTATGGTATTCTTTAGATTTTGTAAACCATGGATGTTGACCAATCACATTATTAATTTTGTGATACCATTTTCCTTATTAATCAACCAATCTAGTTTTAACAAGTTTTAGTTTGGGTAATAAATCTGAAAAGGGTATGGCAACATTTTTAAAGTCAACATCATCACTGCTTCGATTCGATTTAAAATGGTTCTGGCTAGAGGTGGGTCGTCGACGTATTTTTCGTCGACAAAACGAAACCGTCCACTACCGTCCATCGACTAGTCAATCAACTAGTTGAATTCTTCGACTAGTTGACGTGATAACGACAGGCTTTAAAGGGTTTATATCAACTACGCAGTGACTGGTCTGCGGGCGCGACGCAACGACGACGACGGGGTCTTTATTTAGTATTCGCTTTACATTATAGTCATTTAAATGTTTACAAAATAAATTACAAATTAAACTCATAACATAAACATTCAATTTAAAACTTTGCACTAAATTCGCATTCACGTGTCCCTTGACCTTGACCTCGCAACACACTAATTTCAAATTTCAATAAACAAAACTGCAACTACTTGAGGAAAACCATTATTATAAACCCGTTCATCATGCACTGCATCGTTTAGCCAGATCCATCGACGTACTCTTTCACGCAATATAAAAATACTCTTACCTTTTCACTTTAACAACTCTAGTTTAAAAAATGAACAAATATCAACTCCCACGCCATATACTTAAGTTTCAAATCGCTTTATTTCAACGAATGAACGAACGTATGGACTTGTAACGGGTAAACCAGATACGTTTACGCGTCGTCGACGCTTTGTCAGTAGATATGAACGCTGTGGACTCTCAGTTTAGCCGTCTATGAATTCAACTAGTTAACGTATTAACTGTAGACCGTCGAAGCGTCGATTGAACGTAGACCGTCTATTTAAACCGTTCGTTAATTCAACGGCCATCGCTAGTTCTGGCTAACGTATCAGCTTTCTCATTTCCGATGACTCCTATGTGCGATGGAACCCACATTAAAACTATTTGTACATTGAGGACATTAAGTTTGTGGTACATTTTTATAATATCATGTATAAAAAAATTACTTCCAGAGTCAAATCTATTGTTTCGCAAAGCTTGTAAACAACTCATGCTGTCTGGTAACATCAACCACTGAGTGCACTCCTGAATATTTTCCTCTATATACTCCAGTGCAGAAAAAATTGCAAGACTCTCCGCAGAAAATATGCTCATCTGGCTTGGAAGTTTGTATCCTAGACCCGTTTTCAAATGAGGTATATAAATCGCCATTGAAACATTATCATCATTCTTGGAACCGTCTGTATAAATATGTTTATGATTGGAAAACTAATCTATCTTTTTGTTAACTTCTTCTTTAAATTTCATGTCAGGCGATATACGGATGCTTATGTCACAGAAATGCATATCATATGTTTCTTTGTAACATATCCAATTATGCTCAGTTTTATTAATGTTGTACTGCTGGTAATATATATAAGTCATGAAGCAAATAAGGAATCCTAGACATATTAGTTGGAGAGTATATTCCATATAGAAAGTTATTTTTTTTAATTAATGGATGGGAATGAAATGACAATAATTTAACCAAAAACTTTGATTTTAAAAATTTAAGTCTTAATTGAAGTGGAGGTGTATTGCATTCTACTTCCAGAGAGTTGATAGGAGAGGTTTTCATAGCACCCGTTATGCAGCTAAGATTGTGATTCTGCAAGACTTCTAACTTTCTTACTAATTGAGAATCAGATCCAAAACATAAAAATCCATATTCAAAGTGACTTCTATAACATCAATAATATTTTAGGGTCAATTTTTGATAAACATTTTATGACATTGTAGGCTTTGTAAGCTCTCCCCAAAAGATATTCTACATATTTGTTTCATGAAAGATTATTGGTGAAAATAACACCCAAAAATTTTACTTCACTCTCTACAGGGACAGTGACATTCTTATATACAATATCAACATTTGTATCACAATCACCAAATACAACTGTTTTAGATTTGTCAGGGCTAATATCAAAATTTAAATAACTGAAATATTCATTTAATTTTAAAAGTGCTCTATTTATAGTACAAGGTTACCTGTTGAATATCAGAACCTGAATGGTAAATGACCAAGTCATCAGCAAATTGCAAGATTTTTTACTTGTGATCCTAAAATGATGTTTAGTTTGTGTACATAAAGATTGTAAAACAATGGATATAGAATTCCTCCTTGACAGACACCTTTATATGAATAGCGTGGTCCTATTAATTGATTATTACACTTGACATAAACCTCACGACCATGCAAAAAATTAAAAATCCACATAACTACTTTTTCAGGAAAACCAAGAGAAAAAAGTTCACGTGCTATGAGGATTTACATTATTGAAAGCACCAACAACATCAAGGAACACACCAATAAGGACTTCATCTTGTTTGAGTGCATCAAAAATGGCTAGTTGAAGATGTGCTTGCTATACTCTCTCTAGAGGATCGGCCCCTGCGAAAACCAAATTGATTGGAAGGTAAGAGATTATTGCTTTCAATGAAAAATTCAACTCTTTGTTTGAGTAGCTGTTCAAATACTTTTCCCATACATGATGTCAATGCTATTGGCCAGTATGAATTTGCTTTAGTCTTATCTTTATTTGGTTTCAAAATGGGGACCAAACAATCTTTTTTCCAGTCAATAGGTATAACACAGCAAGACCATAACAAATTATAAACTTTTAAGATGATATTCTTAGTTTTATCTGTAGTATATTTTAGAATTTTATAAGGAATACCATCGAGGCCATGAGCTGTATCCCTACGAGTAGAAACTGCAGTTTTAAATTCTTGTATGTTAAATGGCATTTCTAAGTATTTACAGTTATGTACAGGATTCCTATTTACAAATGTCAAAGGGACCTCTACTGTATCTGATGTATATTTTTTGAGAAATTCTGTTACTCATTCACTATATACATTTTTACATGGAACAGGAATACCATTAAACCTCCTGACAATCCTCCAGAGCTTTGAAATAAGAGTACATCAATTAAGTTATTCACACAATGACATCCAACTTAAGTTCCAAATGATGTATCTATCTTATGGAATTGCAAACTATTATGAATAAAAATGGCAACGCCATTATGGCGGTTACCTGGATCTAGTCTAATTATATCATAACTTTTGAGAGTAAACTGAATGTGTGGTTTTAACCATGTCTCAGAAATCAAAGCTACATGAATCTGATTCTCTTGTAGAAAATTTGTTAATAAGTATCTGTGTGCAGGTAAACTCTGAGCATTCCATTGATTAAGTGTTTTGTTTCTTATTTTTATTTATTGTTTCTAAGAGAGTATCTTTTATACTCTGTGTGGAAATAGCTGTTGCATTGTTATTAATTTGACAATTGACTCTACAACCATATTCAAAATAAAATCAGAGTTTAATAGCAATGCTAGCATATCAGTGGGGCTTTGTTTCAAGGGAGGGAATGATTTCTCATTACAGCAGAGTATGTTTTATTCTGAGCCTTTTCTCTATTTAATAATATTTTTTCTTTTTTTACAGGGCACTGTGACGATATAGCCACATGGTTCCCCTTGCAATGACAACATACAGCATCCTGACTTGATTTTGTACAGAGTTTAAAGTTATGTGACTCACCACATATGGAGCATCGTTCTGCATTGTAATAGTAGAAAACATCGTTAGGCGAAACAATACGATTTGAATTTACAGTCAACGCAGCTATATCATAACGAGAAAGAGTATCAGGAACTACATGCAAAGAACCTTTTTTATGTATTATATCAAATGTAAATTGTGAAATTCTAGCAGCCCATCTAGCCAAGCGACCAGAAGGATTATTTAAATTTAAAAGCCAAATTAAACTAGCATGATCCGTTACTACGGTAAACTTCATTCCTTCAATATACGGCCTAAAATGTTCAATAGAATCTAAAATTGCCAAAAGTTCTCTCTCAGTCACACTATAATTACGTTCACACTTATTAAGAGATCTAGAATAAAAAGCAATAGGATGTTGATCACCGTTATCATCTTCTTGACTCAGAACACTACCAATACCAACAGAACTAGCATCACAATGCAAAAAGAAAGGTTTTTTGAAATTTGGACATTCAAGCACAGGAGCTGTAATTAAAGAATTCCTAAGATTTTGAAAAGATCTTCCAGCATCATCATTCCATTCAAGACTTGTTTTTATCTTTTTGCATCCGCCAGTCAATTTAGTTAAGGGAGAAGCTATATCCGCAAATTTTGAAATGAATCTACGATAATACGAACAAAGACCTAAAAAACTACGAAGTTGTTTTACAGTCTTAGGACGAGGAAAATTTTCTATAGCGTCTAATTTTGAAGGATCAGTGTGTAAACCTTTACTATCAACTACATAACCCAAATAACG